AGTGTCCTTTTGTCAAGGCTGTTTTGACAAATCCCCGGGGTGGCCCGGGGGTCAACCCCCCGGGAAAGCCGCTGATACCTGCATAATTAGGAGTGTTTTATCAGGTTTAAAGCCACTGCACGTGACATATTATTTAATTTAATTTAATTTAATAAGATTCGGCTACTATTTAAATACAACATATAGAGCCAGGGAATTTGCCACAGGTTTCCCCAATTACGGCGATCCCATATAAACAAGAATAAAATTACTGTACAAAACAAATTTTCAAGCAACTCAACAAGCTAAAACTAATAAGGCTAATAACGGAAATCCATACTGTCCAAGTTCAATAATATAGATTATGGGACTAACAACAACTTATTACATTGTTAAAGGTGATCTACAGTCCGTATGTAAACAAAGGCTTTGTTTACATTTTTGCGTCCAAAATATTGAGCTTTATTCGACAACTATTTATATTTTCAAGCTTCTAGAGTATAATAAATGATCAAGAAACAACAATCAGGCTTTTCAAGAACCCAAAACATAGTTAAACTGTTTGTATCATAAAAAGTGGGCTCCTTTGTGCACATGCGCAGATCGGACTGTAGATCACCTTTAAGCGATCTTGCTCTTTTGCACTTTACACACACTGATTTCCAGGTGCGCGGATCGTCACATTTGAATGTTTTGGATAGTGCATGTTTGTAGTAGAGTTTAAGACCTGATTTAAAAGACAGCAAACCTATATCTCTAGTACGCAAATTACTATCTAAGGGAAAGACATTTATTATGCCGAGGGGGAGGATGAAGATGTTAAGGGGGGGGGCTCCGAAATATTTTCTGGCATTAAAGGGGGGGGGGCTCTGAAAGTTCTTGATATACTGAAGGATGGGCTCTAAACTTTTCAAAGGTTTGACCCCAGCAAATTAAAGTTAACATTTTTACATCAGTTTCAGGTAAAATTTGCGTATTAAAGTAATTATTTTTGTGAAATGATAACCATTTTTGTAAAATACAGTCAATTTACATGCAATTTGTTTGCGAAATTTGCTTTAGAAAACGCCAGAAATTCAGTCCTAGAGCTTCGAAAATGTAAAAATTTTCTGGGGGATTTTCTCCCAAAACTTAGTATAAGAGTGCCAATCAATCACAAAAAGCTTTATTATAATTATTACACGTATAATCCTCTGACATCCCCCCCCCCCAAACGTCAGATGCTTTGCTGCATCCCTGATGGTTGTATTCGAAACCGCCTATAGCTTATTTAAAAATTTTTTGCGCCAGGTTTGTGAAGTAATTTACGCGCCAAAAAGCAAAAAAGCATATACAATTTGCAAGAATGATATGTTCTATGTTTATGGGATATTTCGTACAAACGGGATGGAAATTAAAGAAATTGAAGCATACTGGCACTTTTGCATGCATTTTTGACAGGCATGCAAAGACATTTGCAACAGATGCCGGGAGATACGTTGGGTGGGGGCAACATACTGTAAGGTTCCAGCACATTACCCTGATCCAGGAAATCCTGGCCACTACATGAACGTGTTCAAGACTCCGAATACGCTGAATGATGGACAACAACAACCTGTTGATTATTCCACCCCTAGAGCCAATTTAAAATGTTTTAAAGACGATGCCATTTCATCTGGCGCCGGCTAGTGAGATGAAAGAAGCAGCAGATCGGTAGTTTTGTTGAGGAGAAGCACTTTGAGTATATCAGACATCTTGAGGAACTGCAAATTGTATCTATGATAAGAGAGAATTCCGGATTGTACTCCTTCGATTCCGAATTCTAGAGGGGGGGGGGCATTGAAAATTTTAAAAACTTGGAGGGGGGGCATCGAAATTTACCGATAACCTCAACAGGGGCCCTGTAAAAATATGAGCTTTTTTCAAGACATCTTCATCCCCCTCCCTCGGTGTAATAAATGTACTTTCCCTAATATGTTCCACGTTTTGCAAGTTCTTATAAAAAATGAGGTCTGGAATGTTACGGTTTTCGCATAAGGAATAACAAATCTAAGTAGGTTTGCGTTGGATTCACTTCTTGTAATTCCTGATCCAGCCATGATCGGTAGAGCACGTTCGTCAATGTAGGTAAGATTGTTGATGATCTTGTAGAGGAACACCAGATCCAAGTATTCGTGCCAATATGAGACAGGTAATATGTCAAGTAAGAAAAGATAAACCCAAGATTCAATATGTATTTAGTTGCTCGTCTCTGCACTTTCTCAACGTCCTCGATAAGTTTCACTGACTGAGGACACCAGGCTTGGGTTGCATAGAAGAAGTTACTTCGCACAAGTTGAAGGTACAGAAGCCTTCTCGCGTTGGTATCCGTATCTCCATGGTAGAACGTCGGATTAACCCGAGCGTTTTGTTGGCTTTTGACCGAACTTTGTTGATCTGAACATTCCATAATAGTTTAGAACTGATCGTAATGCCCAGATCGGACTCTACATCAGAAGACAATAGTTGGTGATCGCCAAGTGCATATGGGTAAATTAAGGGAGACTTCCTTCTCGTGATAGACAACACTTTACACTTCGATTTGTTAAAGCTCAACATGTTCTCATTTGACCAACAATGGAGGCTTTGAATATCCGATTGCAATGCCAGTGCATCCTTACGATTTTGCACACATCTGTGCAGTTTGGTATCATCAGCATACAAACCGACCCCAGTAGAAATGGATATGTTATCGGGCAAATCGTTAATGTACACCGAGAAGAGGAAGGGAGCCAGCAATGAACCTTGTGGGACTCCGGATGTTATTGGTAAGGGAGTAGATGTCGCACCGTGAACAGTTACTCGTTGACAGCGATCTGATAGAAAGTTTTCAAACCACAACAAAAGAGAGCCAGATAGACCGAAATCGCGAAGTTTTTGTAACAGTTTGGAGTGGTCAACGGTATCGAAAGCCTTGGAAATGTCCATGAAGACAACATCTGTTCGTAGTCCTTTATCGAAGTCCTTCCCTATTTTGTGTAGTGTCGATAGTAATTGAGATGTGGTAGACCTTCCACTAATGAATCCATATTGTGCTGAGTGAACGCTTTCCTGTATGCGTAGAGATAGGTGGTTTAGGACACAGCGTTCAAGAGTCTTGCTGACAATGCTTAACAAAGAAATGGGTCGGTAATTTTCCACTTGTTCTTTTACACCTTTTTTGTGTAGAGGGATGATGTTGGCTAACTTCCATTCGGTACGAATCTGTGATAAGCGGGAGGGACTTTGTGAACAGGTAGTGTAGAGAAGGAGCAAGTTGAAATGCACATTCCTTTAAAACACGAGAAGGAAAACCATCAGGACCATGAGCCTTGAAGGGATCTAAGTTCTGTAAGGCTAGGTATACTTCTTCTATAGAGAGGTCAATGGATGATATACTGGATAGTGGAGGTGAGGAATCAGGCCGAGGTGATGAAGTTGTCCCGGGAAGTTGGTGTAGATAGAATGGAAATATTCATTGAACATTGTTGCAATATCGCGAGGCGTGTTTGCATGTAGTCTAGTTTGTTGGAATTTGTCCTTGAGACTGACTTAGGGATAGTTCCGGTGTTCGAGTTGATTTTAAAGACAGACCAGAAACGTTTTGGATTGATTCGTAGGGTGTTTCCTAAGGATGAGAAAAACAACTTTCTGCTTTCTTTAATTAATTTTTTAACGTCAGTTCTTAGCTGGTTGAATTTCGTCTTGAGATATTCAGTCCCTCGGCTTAGAAATCTCTTTCGGGCTGTTACCTTTTTACGAATTTGATGTAGTATGGTTGATGTTATCCAAGGAGGTGTGCGATGGGGGTCTACATGTTTGGTAGGGATAAATTCATTCATAGCTGACAAGATAGCTAGCTTTCTTCCAGGTGAACCAGTCGTCATCAATACTGCATTCCGTCACGGTTGATATGACGGAAATATTTCTGCATGCCATTATAGTTGATATGATTATAGAATTAACCTATAGAGTTAACCTAATACCTATTCGACGCAGCTGGACAACCGGACGCGTCTTCAAAACAGCGTATCTGTAATCTTTATGCAATATGACAAAAAAGCATAAATCCTTTCCATATATCTAGAGTGCTGGTTTTGTAACCGCCTTGGAGTATAGTGATGCGAGAAAAATGTGTTTCCGAATTGCAACTGGTAGTGACGAGCTGAAGTCACATCATCAAATATTTGAAATTTAGAAATGCCATAATTTTTCTTTGGTATCGATAAACATGAAGACATATACGTTATATATCTTCATAGTAAAAAGTAAAAACCTAATCTTGTCAACTAATTTGCAATTCAATCCAGCAATTTTGACAGTGAAAAAGGGTTTTCACTTTTTACTATAAATTACATTTCGCCTTACAGTGATTTAAATATTACACATATAATGGCCGTTATAATAAATTTCACATCCTTCTGAAAGTACTTAGCATCGGCTATAGAGAATCGTTTTCCTGATTGAGATATTGGCATTACTGACAGCTGTAATGATATGATTTCCTAAATGTGTCGCTTGTAGCAAGGTAAAGCATTTCAATTTCGAAAACGAAGCCTCTATTTATTTCAACGAGGCCTCTATTTATTTTAACGAGGCCTCTAAAGCCCCGTTTACACTACGCTCAATTTTTGGTACGGCACGGATAAAAGTGGTACCCATACCACTTTTTTGGTTCTTGGACTACCTATTTAGGTAGTCCAAAAACCAAAAAGTGGTACAGTACCAAAAATTGAGCGTAGTGTAAACGGGGCTTAGCTAAATAGGTAGTCCAAGAACCAAAAAAGTGGTACGGGTACCAATTTTATCCGTGCCGTACCAAAAATTGAGCGTAGTGTAAACGGGGCTTAAGTATTTTTTCAGAAACGTGTAATGCTGTTATTTTCTGACACTGCCGGAGATGGTCACTTTTGTGCTCTGTAATTTTTTTTACAATAGTTTGTTTCTGTTTACTGCGACGAGATGGCATAGTTCGCGAGAAATGCCTTCTTAAGATTGATAATGAATGATTTTTGAATATTTGTATATCCGTAGTGCAGAATAAATCGGATGTTAGTTGAAGGTCAAACTTGGCAAAAATTTGTTGAAATTTGAGAACAAATTTGGTAAAATTTGGTCAAAGTTATGAAATCCTTCCCAATTTTAACAATTTATAATATTTGGTTATGTTTGTCCGAAAATTTTTTTTAGCTTTTCTAATGTTAGTCCGGAAAATTTTGTATTACCCCCGTGACCTGCCCCCACCCCTCCCCTGTGACCAAATGCCTTCGCAGCCCGCATCCAGGCTTTGCCCGCGCCAGGCTAACACGTGCAGGAGATTTTAGCAATGGCAAGGAAGTCGAAAGAGCTTCAATAAAAGCCAACATTAAATCGAGTTTCAGATCAAAATATTCGTTCTAAAACCTTTATTTTTTCGATTTTATCCAAGTATTACCACTTATCTTTAAAGAATGGACTTTCTTGTGTTCTTAGCCGTTAAAAAAGGGCTGCAAATTCCTTCAAAAGATGCTATTCTGTGAAGCTTACTGAATTACAACACGTGGTTGAAGCTTAAGTGTGATGGTCTTTTCGCCTCGATACCAGCGCCGTAACCTGTTCAGAAGCTGCTGAAAATACTCTGGCGTGTCTGCTTCTAAGGTATTAGGCTTGTTCTTGTGTTGATATAGTTTAAATCTTAATAATGTATGAAAGGTTTATTAAAAGCAAGGTTTTATAAATTATCAACCAACGTAGTTAGTGCTAATGGTAACAAGCTTTTGTTAGTAAGGATTCAACTGTCTCAAAAAACAAAGTGAAATTCAACGTTTTCAGCGAAGGCCTTTTTTTGGCAACGCCCAGATTATGCATTGGTCAATTCCAGCTGCGATTACCCCCGCCCCCTCCCTGGGACAGTGTTGGGCATTTGTACGCTTACTTGTCCCCACGGCCAGGCACTTGCAGCTGCGTGTTCACCTGGGGGCCGGGCATTTGTCAATATCAGGTTATTACCCCCCGGGCATTTGTCGCTCACAGAGAAAAGACCGCAGCCACGAGTTTTCTTCGTTGTATGCCAAAATGGACGACTAATAAATATGTTAAACAAATTTTATGTTATATTATTGTTGAATGTTAGTTTTCAAGTGTGAATCAATGTTTAAGATTTTCCTTCAGTCCATATTATATATATTGTATTTACAATGAAAAACTTTCTGCAATAAAACAGGGGTTTCAGAATGAGCCTGCGGCTGGCAGAGTTCCGCCGGCTACTTTTCGTTTGGTCACAGGAAAAAATTATATACAAAGGTACAAGCGAACAAACACGATGTTTGTTATGTTCCAATTGGAATTCAAACAAAACATCACTTATTTTGGAAGATCAATAAGACCAACATAGCTTGCTTTCTTAATTATTTGCTGTCGAAAAAGCGATAATATAAACATTTTTTCTGTGTTGGTGTTGTGTACTCAGGTGAATAATATGTTTGCGGTGTTACTCTGAGTGCATATCCACACCGGGCGAGCTTGAAAAATATGCCCGGCCACGGTGGGATGAAGCCCTGCTGAATAATATGTTTTATCCCTGCTGAATAATATGTTTTATCCCTTGGGGGAATTAATCCAATCTAAGCCAATAAGCGCAGAAGCCCTGTGTCTGTGAACATTTTTTATCTGTCGCACATAATTGTTTTGATGATAGAAATGGTTATAGACAATGTTCAGAAAGTTTGGATTAATAGTTCCTTGCTTTTTTAATTTAAAAAATTTCCTGTGGTCTCCCTTTGCTGAGCACAGGTTGCCACTTGCCTGTGGTTGCCCCTTTGCAAAATGTTTTAAAACATGTTTTTATTACTTGAAAGTGATTGTTTTGATGAGAAAATCTGTTTCAATGTTAAACATTAACAGATTTTCATAACAGGCTAAAAAACAGCAAAAAAGTAGGGCTATAGCCTTCTTTTCGTCCATTTTGACAATTTTTTCTGCCAGATAATGCAATGAAGTATGGTTTTTGAACCAAACTATAGTTTGACCTTTTTTAATCTTGAAATTGATGGAAATGTGAAAGAAATTGAATTAATATTCTGAGTATCGAAGTTCAATAGAGTCATTTTTATAAAGAAATGTTGCAATTAAGAGGATATTTATAATTAGATAGCTCGTATCCATTGATATTTGTTTGCAATTTCTCAATATTTTTTGATGCAAATGGACAGAAGATATTGATATTGAATTCACCACAGGATACTCAAGTATGCCTGAAAATGAAAGTCTAAAAAATGTTTTAACACCCTCTAGGGTGATTGAACTTCGCTATATATGATGCCATATTGGTTGCATTAACTTGCAAAGGCTTCCTTTATTTAGCTCTTCCCATCACTCCTTGCACGCTCACTTTTCCCTCCCTAAAAACTTCATGTAAGCCTCTGCGGAGGAGAGAGGGGAAAAACGACAAAAAAATAAGGCTATAGCCTTTACTTTTCATCGATTTTCACAACTTTTTTCATTAAGGCCTGTGATCCCCTTTGCATTTGACCCAAAGTTTGGAATGGCTTGGGGCAGCTTTGGGAAAATTTCCAGTTGTCCCTCCGGGTCCTTTGTTGATCCTGGGGTTGCCTGTGTTCCCCTCCTTGCATTTGACCCAAATTTTTCGAAACATGTTTTTATGAGTCGGAAGTGATCGTTTTGATTAGAAAAATGTTTCTCAACAATTTTCAGAAAGTTTGGTGTGAGTTGGGCCTCTTGAATTTTTCCTGTGATCGCCATTTGTTGACCGTAGGGTTGCCTATGATCCCCCCTTTGCATCTGACCCAAAGTTTTTGAAACAAGTTTTTCTAAGTCGAAGGTGATTGTTTTGATGAGAGAAAGAAAGTTTTGTGAGTTGGGGGATCTGTATGAATTTTTAAAAAATTTCCTGTGGTACTCCCATTTTTAAAAACAGAAATATGAATTTTTCTGTTGCATCCTTCGTCTGGTATCTGTTAGATAAGATATGTTGTCAGTTGATATGTGCAAATAACTAGATTAATATCTTTCATTGTTTAGATATTTTGTTCCAAGAGAATTTGGATCAGTGAGCAGTCCTCAATGTTGAACCGGATTACATGACAGGAAAAGAAAGATTATACCAAACAGAATCATCTACAGTCGCTGTCTTGAATAATTTAAATAAGGTTAGTTTATAAAACACCTTCCAGGCAATGTGGCATGAAAATTTTAAATTCTGAATAATATGTTATCCCTTGGGGAATTCATCCAATCTAAGCCAATAAATGCAAAGCCCTATGTCAGTGAGCATTTTTTTATCAGTTGAAAGTAATTGTTTTGATGAGAGAAATAAATGCTTATCGACAATTTTCAGAAAGTTTGGAATAATAGTTCCGGGCCTTTTTTATTTAAAAAATTCCTGTGCTCTCCCTTTGTTGAGCACAAATTGCCACTTGCCTGTGGTTGCCCGTTTTGCAAAATGTTTTAAAACATGTTTTTTAACTCTTTCCTGTCACGACCCTTTAAACGCAATACACTGCTGTAATACGACTTTGCAGATTCATATCTTTGGTTCGGTGCATGCTATGTAGATGAAAATGCCACCATTCGATTCAGCAAGTCGAAATCTCCTAGTTCCTAACGATAGATTTAGTCGATGTCAACATTATCACAATTTATGACCTTTGGAAGTCAAGCGAGATTGTATATTATCAAATTACGCAATTGTCTGAACAACAATGTAGACTGGCCGTACCTTTCGCCGAACATAACTTCGGCCGCTTCGGCCGTATCTTCTTTGTAATAGTCTTGTTCGAATCGCTGTCAAAAACACTATTTAGAGTGTTATTTTCGAGATTGTATCATCAAATTTGAATCTTTTATTACCATATTTCCATTTCTGGTCTGACTAGTGAGATAATCCAACCGGAAGTACGACTTAAAAATGTCATAACAATGCTACGCTTGCATCGCGTGACTCTGGAAATGCCAGAAACGGATTCTACAGGTCAAAGTGCACCCATACGCGTGAGTTTTACGTCATCCCGGCTAAAGCGAGCTCCTTATTGGCCAAATATTACGTAATACAAGCGCGTGCGAGTAAAACCCGATACCTTGAAAAATTCAAAATAAATATTTCTACTCGCCGTATTCATACGAAACTTTCTACACGAAAGCGCCTGAATACAAAGAGTATTTTACACATATAGCCTTCCAAAAAATGACGAAAAGTTTAGAAGATATTCAAGTTTTTATGTTTTTTCTCGTTTGAATGTTTGGCGAAGCGGTGAGTATAAATATATGATTGTTTCGGTTTGTGTAATGTTTTGATGGCACTTGACCCCCCGTTCGAAAGGTTATTTTGTGAGGATTTCAATGGTGGCATTTATTTAAAAGGGGGGTAAATACTCGCCGAGATATTTATTTTTGAAAAATTGAGTCGTAATGTAATGCGAAACCGGCTTGACGAGAAAGAGTTAAATGTGTCTCAATGTTGACTTTTTGTCCATTTTGACGTAAAGCAACAAAAAACAACAAAAAAGCAAGGCTATTTTGATTGACGATTTATCAATGCTAGCTTTTGAAAAAAAAAGAAAGAAATTAAAGAAATCACTTCAACAGAAGAACAAAGTGATTTAAGGTTACAGGACACCCTTTTGCCAGTTTTGCGGAAAATCGCTACTGCACGCTCAGTATCAATCCAATTTTCGTCAAATTTTCACCAAATGTTCTCCAGTGCATGCAAAATATGGTAAAGTTGTAAAATTAACAAACAATAAAATAATGTAAGAATTATTTAGGAAAATCTTAAATCGCGGTACCATTACGCTTTTGAGTTGTGCTCCTGCTGGTTTTAAGTTATATTTATGAAAATATCATTTTTATACAGCAAAATAGTTGTTCTAAAAAATTGTGTTCGGAAATTTTTGTTTATTTCGTCATTCCGCTGATATGGCGATTTCTTTGACGACTTGAATATATTTCTGAATTGTTTGAGTGAATTGCTCTTTATTTTTAAAATATCCAAAATTTAAAAAAAGCCGACCATAATTTTCAAACTGACGTCTTTAGCTATGTCCTGTGAAAATTTGAGAAAAATTGGTTAAAACCCGCAGGAGCACAACTCGTTTGAAAATCAGTAATTACCGTAAACTTTTTCGGGAGAAAATTGAATTTGAATATTACATTTTCAATGTTTTTCTTATTCCAGCGAAATGTATTTTATTAAATAACTCTGCGAGTTTTCAACATTTTTCGTTCAAACTAGGTCAGATAGTAGAACTAGTCTAATGCTTTCATGGAAACCAATAAAAAAATTTTAGGCAAAATTAACACTCAAAGGTGTTCTGTAACCTTAAAACGAAAAACTAAAAAAAAAAAGAAATTGAAGAAATCACTTCAATGGAAGAACGAACTTTAAAACGAACGACTACAATGCTTGAAACAGATAAGACGAAAGACTGAGCAGAAACAGCAAATAAGTAAGGTTATTGGCTTAACTTTTCATCGATTTTAACAACTTTTTTTTGTAAAGGGGCAAAAACCAGCAAAAAAGTAATTAAAAAGGTCAAACAACAGCAAAACGCGATTTTTACGACATTTTTCATTTTACGTAAAGAGACAAAAAGGAGAAAAAAGGTAAGGCTATATATACCCTTTACTTTTCGTCCATTTTTGGCGACTTTTTTCATTTTTCATAAGTGGGCATAAAACAGCAAAAAAGTAAGGCTATAGCCTTCGTCCATTTTTGGCGACTTTTTTCATTTTTCATAAGTGGGCAAAAAACAGCAAAAAATTAAAGGCTATACACTTTACTTTTCGTCCATTTTTGGCGACTTTTTTCATTTTTCATAAGTGGTAAGGCTATAGCCTTCGTCCATTTTTAGCGACTTTTTTCATTTTTCATAAGTGGGTAAAAAACAGCAAAAAAGTAAGGCTATACCCTTAACTTTTCGTCCATTTTTGGTGACTTTTTCATTTTTCATAGTTGGGAAAAAACAGCAAAAAAGTAAGGCTATAGCCTTCGTCCATTTTTGGCGACTTTTTTCATTTTTCATAAGTGGGCAAAAAAACAGCAAGAAAGTAAGGCTATACCCTTTACTTTTCGTCCATTTTTGGCGACTTTTTTCATTTTTCATAAGTGGGAAAAAAACAGCAAGAAAGTAAGGCTATACCCTTAACTTTTCGTCCATTTTTGGCGACTTTTTTCATTTTTCATAAGTGGGAAAAAAACAGCAAGAAAGTAAGGCTATACCCTTAACTTTTCGTCCATTTTTGGCGACTTTTTTCATTTTTCATAAGTGGGCAAAAAACAGCAAAAAAGTAAGGCTATACCCTTAACTTTTCGTCCATTTTTGGCGACATTTTTCATAAGTGGGCAAAAAACAGCAAAAAAGTAAGGCTATACCCTTTACTTTTCGTCCATTTTTAGCGACTCTTTTCATTTTTCATAAGTGGGCAAAAAACAGCAAAAAAGTAAGGCTATACCCTTAACTTTTCGTCCATTTTTGGCGACTTTTTTCATTTTTCATAAGTGGGCAAAAAACAGCAAAAAAGTAAGGCTATATAGCCTTCGTCCATTTTTGGCGACTTTTTTCATTTTTCATAAGTGGGCAAAAAACAGCAAAAAAGTAAGGCTATATCCTTAACTTTTCGTCCATTTTTGGCGACTTTTTTCATTTTTCATAAGTGGGCAAAAAACAGCAAAAAAGTAAGGCTATACCCTTTACTTTTCGTCCATTTTCGGCGACTTTTTTCATTTTTCATAAGTGGGAAAAAACCAGCAAGAAAGTAAGGCTATACCCTTTACTTTTCGTCCATTTTTGGCGACTTTTTTCATTTTTCATAAGTGGGAAAAAAACAGCAAAAAAGTAAGGCTATACCCTTTACTTTTCGTCCATTTTTAGCGACTTTTTTCATTTTTCATAAGTGGGCAAAAAAACAGCAAAAAAGTAAG